CTGCATACATACAAAATTTAAAAAAATAAAATAAATGCGAAAAAACGAAACAGGGGGAGCAACCCGACAGCTTAAGGCGGCGCGGCGCAAGTTTAGTGCGACTTCGGTATTTATGTAGATTATCAATGCGATTTCTATGCAAACTTTTATGCCTTTGTTGTTTTGCGTTTTTTTTTTGTTTTTTTTTTTGTTCACAACGCTTTGAACCTTGAACTTTATAATCGCTTAGTAAATGAAAAGTGGTGTAATTATTTCACGTGAACTTGTGGCCCACGTACCTACCGCCATACAAATGTAAATGTTTATTAAAGTACGCTAATAACAAATCCTCGGTGTGCTTATTTCTGTGAAAGTGCCTGACTGACATGGAAGGAATTCTAAGAAACGATTGCAGTTAAGTAAAGTTTCGATCCGAATGTTTTTAAAACCTGCAGGCAATTACATGTACTGATGTTTATCGAACTTTGTGGAAGTGTCCTTTTCAAGGGAAATGTCATTTATGACTAAACAATTACTATTATAAATAATTGGCAAAGTAAAAGCTATTTACTGAAATCTCAGAATTTGCTTTAATAAAGCACAAAAATGTCGATATGGTACTCAAGCGGTTTTTATGTGAAACCGTACAATAAAATTCTGTAACTATCATACTATCATGGTCACCCTGTCACAAAGTGCAGAAAAAGTAGCAATTTTGAAGGAAATCGATTCCAGTTAATAAATGTTACATAATAAAAAAATAGTTGAAAACAATTGTAGGGTCCTCCCAAAACGAAGAAAAAATTTTAAAAAATTTAAATGTTAAAAAAAAAATGTTTACAAAATTTAAATTTTTTGTTTGGTTTTTATAAAAAAATTTGGTACGCAGTTTTATAGCATGCAGATGTGCTTGAAATATTGGTGAAAAAATTATTAAAAATCAACGCGACCTCTTAGCCATTTCCAAATTGCACTTTATTGCACTAAAATTTAAGGATTAATAAAATTGCAAACCCAATTTTTTCTAGAAACTCAATTTTTTTATTAATTTTAGTGAATTTTTTTTTTGTATAATAGTTAAAATTTTTCTTTTGAATTTTTTTTTCGTTTTGGGGGAACCATACAATTGTTTTCAACAAGTTTTTATTACGGAACATTTATTAACTGTAACAGGAGAATCGATTATCTTTAAAATTCGCTACTTTTTATGCACTTTGCACCAAAAAATTTAATATAAACAACAATTCAAAAATCGGGCTCAACTGGCCTCATGCAAATTTTATAAGCTTTCATTTAAAAACAATTAATCAAATTAAGTGAAAAATTAAGGCTACAGTGAATTGGGAACACCAAATCCCAGTTTTGAACCACTGTGCAGCGGTGCTCTGTCAAGAATGATCCTAAAACAAAATAGAAAGCCAGAGTAACCTAATAAGTATCTCTCTGTAAAGCGCAAGTGTGGGAAAAATCGATAGGTTGTGCATTTTGCACAGCAGCCGAAGAGGTAGCTCTGGTCGTCTCAGGACTACCTGTATAAACTCTTAGCTAAAAAAAAAAAAACAAGTTTTGTGTGTAGATTCTTCTCTATTACCGGTATTACTATATTACTAGTGAGCCCGCATGTCCAAAATTAAACTTAACATTTTAAACAGGTGGCAACCCTTTTCACAGTTATAAGCGGTCCGTGTGCCAAATTTCGTCTAAATCCGTCCAGCTGTTTTTGAGTGGAGATAAGTGTCGCACATCACCCAGTACCGATAAAAAATTCTAATTTCAAAAAATAAAATGTTATTTCATATCTACAGGCCAAGCTTTTTAATTTGACATCTAATTTTTAAAATTCGTGCAGAACTGATGACTTTCTTCAATAATTTCTTCGTGTAGGTGGCAACCTTAATTAAAAGTATTTTCAAACTAACAGGTCTATTCTGCGCTGGTATTAAAAATTTTATAACCGGTAAATATAGTTGCTGTAAGGTTTTAAACACTTTCCGCTGTTGGTGTACTCTTGTTACCGGTAAATTTTGTTACTATCTCATAAGCTGGTAAGTAAATGTTGCCCCTGAAATATGCAATGCCAGAGTTTCCACAATTTGTCATAGCTGAATTGCTGAATATTTTAACTGCATTACCAACGGACCTAGGATCGCGTTGACAAGAACTGTTAACGTTTTTGTGGAAATAAAATTTTCCGGTTACAAAATCTTCGGTAACGTGCAGAATAAACCTGCAAAGCGTCCATAAAACTCCTTCGTTTGACACTCATATTTGAATATATCATATATGTACATATATACATACATATCTTGTGCATAAACTAACTGAATTCGACCTTTCAAACAGGTGGCAACCATTTTAAAAATAATTTTCAAACGAAAATCTTCTTAAATCTTTTTCGTGTGTTATTGGGATACATGTTTCAATTAACTAATGAATTAGGTTGAATCTGGTTTTTAAAATACGTGGTAACCCTCCTAAATATAGTTTGCAAATAAAGCCTTTCCATACCCATTTTTCGACTGATATCTTTTCACACATCTTTTAATAACTCATTGAAGAATAATTATTTGAATTGAACATTTTAAAACGGTGGCAACCTCTTCAAATGCCTCGAATATATCGTAAATGTTGGAATTAAAGACTGTTTTCCACTATTTCCTTTGACATCCATATTTAAATATCTCATAAACTTGTGCATAATTTATTTAAACGCTGTTTAAAATATTTTCAAAATAAAAATTTCTTATTCATTCATTCATTTCCATCAAGCCTTAACTGCAGTTTATGCCTATTGGATATAGGAGATTATAACTCGAAGTACAAGCAAACGGAAGTATACAAGCGAGAAGTAAGAAATAAACCTTTCCGATCACCCCTTGTTAAAATTAGTGGAATTCAGCTTCAGAGCTGAAACATGTGGCAACTCTTCTAAAATTGTAGTTCCATTTGGATTTATATCCATCTTTTAATAATTCATTAAGCTTATTGAATATTTATATTTTTAAACAGGTGGACACTCTGTTCAAACACCTCAAAAATATTTTATACTTATTTTCAAAGTAAAGATTGCCATTCTTTTGACGCCCATACTTAAATATTTCATTTAAATTGTGTATAATTTAATTAAATTCGACTTTTCAAACAGGTGGCAGCACTCTTCAAAATATTTTCAAAGTTAACGCAACAAACATTAAGGTAAGAGAACGATTGGAAAACTATTCGAAATCTAGTGTGTTTCTCTAAGGCAAAAGGTTAGAAGACGATTAGAAAAACTGTCGTGAATTATAGCATTCTGTACGAAAAGGGGAGTTAGTTCTCGATATCGAGAAAAAAGTTGCATATCTAATTATTCTCTAATAGAATTCTGACATAGTTCTCTAACCTGATTTTCGATTCGAGAAATATATTTATTTACATTAGAATTCTAATGTAAAATCAAAACATTTCTCTAACGTTAGATTAGGTTTGCAGGGAAACCTTTTTAAATCTCATACGTCTGACACCAAAATATTGTGAACCATATCTCAATTACCTAAACTGAATTTTATTTATCCAAACCATACTACAGTTATGCTAGTTTTGGCAATCACTCATCATACTTTTTTCGCAAGAAAATAGTGGTCGAAATTATATGTGTGGGTCTGAATATTGTAATGGGTAATATCTACAAAGCCAAGAGAATTATCTCTAATCAATTACTAATTTCTGTGTATTGTAATTATTGTTGTATTAGTATACAAAATTACCATCTAGCCCAATAAGCAACAGTACATTTACAGCGTAGGGGCCATATAATCAATACTAATGAAACTCCAAATACGAATGGCCTACAATTACCTACAAAAATTAATGTTTACATCGTACGTTTCGCTATAACCGCACTACGAACAAATAGTTTTGTTATAGGCTCAGTGTGACACGGCGTATACGCAACAGAAGTTCGATCAATGCTTAGTAATGCTGTTGCCGACCGCTTGCTGCGATAGGCTGAGCTATATATGTAGATACATACATACATACATATGTACATAAGGTTATACATACACATGGGTATATGGTACACATGTGACATGTACTTACATCCATACATATGTATGCTGCGTGGAATTCTATGCTATTCTATGCTCCGTTGACCTGACCCACTTTCCCGTGCTCACTACAATCGTCAGCACCGTCAGTCGCAAAATTTCATGTTTCACTTCTGATTTTAATTGCATTTGCTACATTTGTACGTATGGCTGTGTGCCGAAATTGCAAAACATTCACTCATCTCGCTTTGATTTGACGAGGCGTTGCTTTTTACCTCTTTTATTTTCGATTACTTAAATCTTTTAATTGATTTGGAATTTTTTGTTCCATTTAATTAATTTTTAGTGCTTCTTAGAACAACATAAACGAATTTTCTGTAATTTGATTGCACTCAATTGAAAGTGTTCAATCGAAATGGTATTGAAAATGCTTTATTTTTAAGCGACATGTAGCAGTGCTGCCATCTGTTTGAAAATAGAAAAATTTAACTTAAATTATGGAAATTAGGTGATTCGAATAGATTGTATGTACCATGCATTTATCACAATATGGGTGTCAGATGAAAAAGGTTTAAGAAGGTTGCCACCTGTGTAAATTCAGACTATTTAATAATTTGAATGAATTATTACAATATGGGTGTCACTAGAAATGGGTTTGAAAAGTAGTCATTCCTAAACTACATGTACGAGGGTTGCCATCTGTTTAAAAACTAAATTCGGCTTACATTCAAGGAAAAAGTTAATTGAAAATTTAAGCTAAAAAAAAAAACGTGAAAATCTCCTATGCTCCTGGCGTTGAAATTTCATACACTCAGTGAAGCGGGTTACCACACCAAAGGGAGTAAGTACTCTTGCATTTCTCATTGTAGGAGATCCCTCTTAAAGTTCTAGTTCTAGCTAAGTTTTACGTCCGATGAACCAAACACATCTTCAACGTAGTTGGAATATCTTTGAGACCATTCGTCTATACGTCAATTTTTATACTCACTCTGCGATTATTGCCGAAACTATTTTGACGACCCAGAGACTCTTCAGTACTGTACTCTTTTTGAGTTTGTGATGATGATAGACTTGGAATATTTGTAGCGACCGCTACTTGCGATTTTGTGGAACTCATAATCACAGTTCATTTAATTAAATTCTGCAAATAAAAGCATGAAAAAAAAATTTAATTAATTTGTGCAACAAAAACAAAAAAATACAAAAATCTTAAATTACTTAACAAATAAAGTCAAAAGTTATAGAGTTTATATTATTACGGCATAAACACAGCAAGTAGTATATAATAATTTACCTCAGGTTGAATTACAGCATTTTTACAACCAACCGACTGTTCGATATTGTTTGTGATAGTAAAAGGAAATTCTTATTTAGTAAACCATGCAACACCGACACACCCATTGTTTTTAGCAAGAGCCAGTAGTAGAACTCTGCGGCTGTTAGCTTCGCGTAGTTGGTTTTGTTTATTTTTTATCTTACAGTTTTAGGAATTTATGGAAACAATTTTGAATTTAAAAACATTTTCTCAGTTAATTGGCAGTGCAGCGTACAGAAGAATTGGATTTCGTACACAAAAGATTTCAATGAACATTTTTAAGTTTTTTTTTTTGGATTTTGGTGATTGGATGTTGGTTTTTGGTTGTATTTTTTTACACTTATTTTTTTGTTTTACGTTTTTGTTCTTATTCACTGGAGTATCTCCAAAATCACAATTTTAAAAAATATTCGAAAAGGTAGCAAATTTCATAAATGAACACAAGTCGAAAACTATTTTTTTTTTTTTTTTTCAGGAAATGTAGACATTTTTATTTCACGAATGCTGACCAATTTATAAAAAAGTCACTAATAAAGTCTATGTAGTAAGTATTTTTTTATGTAAAATTTAAGATTTTATACAACTAGTATAACTATTTAATTATTTTTCTCTGCTGTGTTCTTGGGGAAGGGGGAAATTCTTATCACAATAGCGCATCACCACAAATTACAACACTGCGTTTACGTATACAAGTTTTTGGGGTTGTAATTTCACTTAATTAAAGCTTACGTTTTTGTTTTATATTACACATACATATAATTAGTTTTATTACTTTTTTTATTGGTGTACTTTGTTTTTACAAACATAGTTCTTCAAGCACAGCTTTGTTTTTATTGTAGCTCGAGAGCACCCACGCTTGTCGATTGGCCAAAACTACAATGTCACTTAAGTAATCTGGAATTCACAATGAGTAATAATAAATCAATAAAAAATGTTTCAATTTGTTTAGGCTGGTAGCAAAAAAAAAACACAGCCCAAAAGCAATGCAACTAGTCAGATAGGCTTCTTGTAGAGGGCCATCGATCATAGGTATTGAGCTTGTGCTCGCCTGCGAATCTACACCAAAATTGAATTAATGAAATGTTTTTGCCGTTCGGGGAAAAAATGAAAAAGGTATAGAATTAAGAAAGAAATAAGTGTGTAATAAAAATCCAATATAATAGGCAATGTAAACATACGACGCCAAAGGGTCTACATACACATAGTGATTGAGCAGCAAACCCAAACGCCACTACTACTCCAGGCAATGAACGAATTGCAAAACCCACAAATCAACAAAAATCGTTTGGTGCTTTGGTGCTGCCCCACCCATCAAAGCAGGTGGAAATTTTCACAATATTGTTTTGTTTTAATATTTTTTTTGCCTTAGCTCGTTTGGCGCGTGTGTACATATTTACATATATTGGTATTTAACACATATTGACATTGAATATTAAGGGAAATTGTGGTAGAAAAATTCCATGAAATCGCAAAGTGCTGCGCGCACACTAAGTTACATATGTACATATATACATACTAAATATGCGCCTAAATACACATATGTATGTATGTACGTACATTAGGGTGGTCCAAATAAACTAAACCACAATTTTACTGCTCTCACCCACTAGGAATGTTCTATATCGAAAAAATATACCCGTTTTTTTTAATAAAAAAATATTTAGAAGTCGCTCAAAGTTTTCCATGTATTTTTTATAGAGAAAAACCTATTTTTCGTAGAAATGGCATAGAATACTTGGAAAGCAATATTTTCCAATCGAAAAACTTTGTTTCACGCCAGAAGGCTTTGGGAAACTCTTTGACCGCCTTAAGCGACCGCTAAATAATTTTCGGTTAACAAAAAAGCAGGGGTATATTTTTTCTGCTATAAAACAATTCTAGTGGGTGAAAGCATTTAAATACGACTAGACTTCTTTCGCATAAATTTTTGAACCACCCTAGTATACATATGTATGTATGTGTATACAAAAATGTGTGCTTTTCTGTAGAGGAAAATGGAAAATGTACATATATATGTAAAAGCTCATAGCACAAAGGGAAGCTAAAAGTTTGGGTTTGTGTTGTTTTGAAGAAACACGCTGCTATAAATTTCGCATAAAAGAAATTTTTTGACATGAGGGTGTATAGCTGATGTGCGGTGGGCGAATGAAAAATACATATTTAATCACTTCCGCTAGTAATATATAGAAGCGCAAGTACGCACGTAGAAGTATGTACAGTGAAACCTCTCCTAACGGACACCTCTATTAGACGGACACCTCCCTTGGGCGGACATTTTTTCCTATACCAAGTTTTAAGTATAAATTTCGGAACAAATTACTCTCTCTCAAGCGGACACTCTCTTGGCCGGACGCGGACAGTTATTTTGCATAAAATTTACACAAAAACTCTATTGGGCGGACGCGAACCTCTTATCAACGGACATTAAGATTTCTTTTCATAACAAATCAAACAAAAACCTCCGTTGAGCGGACGCGAACTCCTCATAGGCGGACTACTAAATGGAAAAAGGGGACTTCCCGCACAAAATGTGATTGTTATGCACACATTTAGTTTGGTTTGCGCAGTGGTTTAGGTTCGTTATTTGAATTGTCAGAAACCCTTGGAGAAGCCAATTCCAATTCTGGTGAATTTATAACAATAGATAGTAATAAATACATGGACCGAAAATTTAGATTTCGGGTTGGATTTTGTTACTGATAAAAACATGAAAACTATTGATGAAAAAGGTACTGACACTGAAAAAAATTAAAAATAAAACTTACGTCAATCGACAATTTCCCAATTTTTTATGTAATGAATCTATGATTTTATGTAGTTTATGGACTAAAATGTAATATTTATTTTTGTTTTGTTATTACTTAATATGTACTTACGCACATAAATGAAATGTGCACTTTTGAAAAAATACATGCACATTTTTGTTTGAACGATGTAATATCAATATCTTTTATTCAAATAAGAAATAGTGACTATTCAGTTAATTAAAACATTAAAAAGTTCTAAAATAGGCTTCCCTCCATTAAGCGGACACCTCTCTTGGGCGGACAAAAAGTGACTGACGGTGAGTGTCCGCCCAAGGGAGGTTTCACTGTATATTAGGGACAGCCTTATTTAAATGGCATATATTTTAATTTGTAAGATATTGTGCATTTTATTTCGAATACACAATTCTTGCCATTTCTTTACACATGCTATCTTTGTTTTTATTCGTCGCCCGAATTGTTGTGACAGAAAATTAGAAAACCGTTCAAAACATGGCTCAAAAATCAAGTTTTACTATCGATTAGCCCAGATCAATATCTAATAGATAATAAGATTAGGGTGAGGCTGCCTATAATAATGTGATACCATTTAAGGATTGGGAGAACGGTGAGCGGTAGAAAATTTAAGCATGCCCACAGTAAAGTCGAGAGAGCAACTAAGATCTCATTATCTGGTGTGGAAAAGCCTAGTAACAGATGATGAATTGATTTTATTGCATAGTCTTCCATGCAGATGCTTCAAACCGGTTTGAGATGACGTCGAGCCTTCCGCATAGATGCCAAAAGGACAATGTCTAGTTAAGTCGCTTACCAACATCGAGACACATGCACCTTATTTAGCCCTAAGAGCTCCTTATACCGCCTGCGATCTATGGACTGAAGGATCTAGCCCCCAAGTTTTCGCCGAACTATCGTTAAGCTTTCCAACAGCAGACGATATGTGACAAATGGAGCTCCGACTTCATTTATCAGGTGACTACTCTTCAAGAGCGTCCTGCCTTGGCCTTCATCGACCTTGTAGTTTCCTACAACATCGCTATGGCCTGAAACGTATATTAGCTTGATAGCAAAGATTTTTGATGCGATCGAAAGGAAAATTTTTCTAGCGCTCCATCAAAGATCCAAGGATCCTAATTGGTGTCGAAGTCTCAGTGCCGAAAAAAATGCTTATTTTTGTTTTAATTTATTCGACATACAAAAAGCTAGTTATGCTAATTTAACTAAATCTCACAACGAACAATATCTAAAACTTAGAGGAATATGAGACTTTCGCGAGAAACCGATATTGGTAACCCTTGACCTCGAGTAACGTTTCTATCGTCGCATGAAAAGATATGGCCATTTGGTATATCAAATAGGACCACAAAAGGAAAGTTCTTGGCGATATTTTCCAAAGTTATGCCTTTTTTGAGTTTTTGGCATACACCTAACCAACCAATTTTTAATAGTTAAAAAGTTCGGAATGTTTCATCCCTTCGTAAGTGATTTGCACCTTTGCTAAACAAATCATTTAATATTAATAATTTATTTGTACACACACACTTACATTTGAGTACCAAGCTGCCTTCCCACCACATCGGCGCGTGCGTTAAGCAACAAACGTCAAAACGTGCCAAATGATGGGGAAATACCCACAAACACCTGAATGCGCCGCCAATTGAAGAAATCTGTATCTTTTACTCACAGCTCATGGCTCGCGAAAAGTTTTCGCACACAGGTGACTTGTAAATATGTACATATGTATGTAACTACTAGTTATAGACGGGTAAACAATGCACAACGATTTACAAAAAATATTAAACAAATACAAATAGTTACATATATACAATGTAAGTACATATATATACACATGTACATATGTATGTATGTTTTTAGATATGTACTTCAATACATATGAGTTAATTTCTACCTACATACATAAACAACAACGACATACCTATAAAAAAATCAAACCAATGATTTGCAACAACAGCTGCAAGGTAGCGCATTCAGGCAGGGGGAACACAGCGATTATTAGTGGTTTTATGCAGACCACATGCAAATACATACACACACGTATTTATATAGTACACACATCCATACAAACCCACTTGTATGTACTAGTATTTTGCTTATACATAGTTCGATAGCCAAAGGCGGCAAAAAAAGGTGAAGTTCGAGAAATTTGGGGCAAAATTGTTGTACACGAGAGTGGCGACAAAAATCGCGGTGACCACGAAAGAAAACAGCAACAGCGACATAAAATACCATTACCAAAGAGTAAAGGTACCTTTTCCGATTTTTGTTAGAGAGCGAAAAAGAGAGTGTTCACATAGAACATACAAAATACATACTTACATATGGATGTATGTAGTACTTTGTGATTTTTACGAATAAATATTAAGAAGCAAGAAAATTGAAAAGAATGATACAAAAGTAGAATATTGTGGATGGTATATATGTATGTACGTAGAATTCTACATATGCACATACATATGTATGTATTTATGTATGTACAAATAATATAAACAGGAAATTTCTTATAGCAGAGAACTTCCTGTGATGTACGGTAAATTATTTGTAAGCAAAAAAGAGGATGCTGCCTAGCTTATACGCAATCGAATTAGAGGCGCAAGGAAGCTTAAAAACAGTATCTAAATTTCGATATGGGCAAATGCAAGCGTTTTACTTAAAAAATTTGTATGGCATAAGGGCAGGTTTAACCCTTTGAAGACCGAATGAAGTTGGGTGGGGCTTAAACTTTTTTGACGGCGTATTAGTGTTCGCTTATCCTTAAACATGAACTGGTATACAATTTGAACGCATCTGATTTTTGGTTTTGACTGCTATGAAATGTTGCATAGTTATCGTAACCGGTAAAACTTACCGGAGGTCTGTGTTCACGAAAACATTTACATATATAATTTATGATTTGATAAAACTGGTTTAAGTATTTTTTGTATATATATTTGTTTATTTTTTGTTTTTGTTGAAGGATATGGAAATGGATGGTGGAAGTTATCGTGGACCTTCTAAAAGAGTTGAATTTAGTGACATGATTTTTGTAGTAACTATTGAAATAGAGGATTTACAGGCAGTGTCAGCCTGATTTTTTAATTCTTTAACCCTTGCAGGCTTTTCCTTAAATGT